GCGCCGCGGGCTAGCGCGGGAAACTGACCCGGCCCACGCGCAAGCGCCGCGGGCTAGCGCGGGAAACTGACCCGGCCCACGCGCAAGCGCCGCGGCATGTTCTGAGCAACGGTAGACTCGGACCGCTTCGTACACACCCAGAGATTTCAAAATACACCCAAAGTCTTCCTTCTAGTGACAACACAACTCTTCCCATTCATCGCCCTACCGTATCACTGTTGTCCCAAATCTTCCTTAGGTAGTCCAGGTCTTTCTGACTTTAGTCAAAACAAATGATTGTTTGAGGAAAAAGCTACAGTGAGTTTTCAGATAAGTGTTTTATCACTGATACTTCAATTGAATTTTAGCTTTTAAGATCTTCTCTTTTTTAAAAAATTTTTTTGGTCGGGGGTGTGGGGGGTACCAGGGATCCTACTCAGGATCTTGTGCTAGCCAGGCAAGTACTTATTCCACTGAGCTATCTCCCCGGTCCCTAAGATGGTCTTTTAAATCAGCAATATTATTAAGCTCCCTTTGCAGCATATATCCATGGAAGTTTTTATAGCTGCACTATTTTTCATGTAAGATTCAGTGAAGACGTGTCTTATGATGCCCAAGAAAACCCGGCTCACATGTCCATCACGAATGTGGCAGGCAGTTTTCCGTAGGAAGGTGTCGTGGCTGACATCTGCACGTGTCCTCCGCCTCTCGCGTGCTCATAGCGGGGCGCTAGAGGTGGCTGACGAAGGGTGGATATGTGCCCCAGTCTCTGACTGGCTCAGCAGAGTCTGGGTGTGTCTGAATGGATCTGTTGCAAACAGAAGCTCCACGCCAAGAGTGGGTGCACCAGCCAACAGGCTGATAGCCTACATGAGCACAAAGGGAATGGCAGAGGGAGGCACGCTGTTCTGCTGCTTTCTGCCCAGCCCCCGAGCGAGTTCTCCTGCCATGCTGCCCTCCCTCGGAGCCAGGTGACTATGGACTGGCACCTCCAAAAACAGTGAGCTGAAACAAACTTTTCCTCTTTTAATCTGTGGGCGAGTTGAATATTTTGACCTAACAATGAAAAAGTAACTGAGACAGAGGCATATAGAATTTTAAAACAAATCCATCTGTTTCAAAGAACTACACTGATTACCCTCAGTTTTGGACCTTCTTCCATTATTTGTATCTGAAACCAGATCATAAAACAGGAAGTATTAAGAACAGAGATTTAATGTGGACAATGGATTTTATAGTTTTTGTTCTTACTTGAAAAACAAATACCACAAGAGAGAAAAGGGAGGTGCTCTCCACAGCCTCGGATATTTCCACGCCAGCATCATGCCTGTTGAACGGAGGCAGCCATCCATACACTGACAGCTAAATGTGAGGACTCAGTGCAAGGACGGGCCCTACACATACCCAGAGAAGATCATTTCCATCTTTCTGAAGGGAATTATTGAAACAATTTCATGCAATCAGGCCACAAATGCTACATCTACCAGAAAGGAACTCAAAGGAGACGTGGAGTAGACGGGAGGTACTCAGTGAACACTAGTGGAATGCAATACTCAAAAGCTCAGTCTTAGCAAGGTAAAACCCTTACACAATTATAACAGCGCTGCCGTGGTTAGTACTGTCACATTTTTATCTTTTTGTCTTTCGTGTGGCAAAGGTCTCGCTCAGGCTGGGTGAGCTGCAGTGATCCTCGCCTCTCAGCCACTCGTCTAGCTGAGACTAAAGGCGGAGGCTGCGCTGAACACATCTTCTACAAGGACACGGGTTGTCTCTACAAAGAATAACCTTAATCGTGGTACCCACTATGAAAGAGAACAAAACAACAGTGACAAGAAAAGGACGATCTTCTTACTGAGTTAAATTATGCATCTTTTTACCACTGCATCTTTTTATTGCATTAAATTATGTTGAGAGAATCAAGCTAGGGAGAAAGGACTTTAAAGAATATGTTAAGTACAGTCACTATAAAGAATGCTCTCATATAAGAATGCATTCTGTTTTTGATTGTTCATTATCAACAATGTTCGGAGTCATTTAAAAAACAGAGGAATTTAAATCAAACAACACACAGTGATCTGTGGAGCCTTCACAGCACAGGCAAAGCAGCAAGTTTTCCACAACTGCTTATGTGACGACAACGGAATACACTTAATTGCTTGGACCAACTGTCCTTCTCTCTGTCTCTCTTTTTTTTTTTTACAAGGTTTACAATGCTCAAATCCATTGTGTTACCAACAGCCATTTTTCATTCACGTTATGAAGTCAATGTGGACCAGCAGATGCCCAGTACCACTGGCATCGAGCTGCCAAGAGAGCTAATAAAAGAGCACGAATCGACACAGGAACAAAACTCTGCACAAGGCTCATTGACATTTTAAGACCTGGCTTGATTATGAGTATTGGATTAACAGAGAGAGTAAGAGACAGATCGAAGCTAGCTCTTCCATTTCTTCCTTTTATCCCGCGACTCTCAGAACCGTCGGCCTTTCTCACAGGTCAGTCAGGAGGCCCTGCGCTTCGGCAGCGCCGTGCGCTTCCCTCACACGGTCACGGCACTCAGCACTTTTTTCCTAGACAGAGTAATTCACCAGGACATGGAGATTTGATTTTTAGTTATTCAAAAAACATATACAGAAACCAGTACAAAGCAGGGTGCATAGCAAGAACTGAGAAAATATTTACTGCATTGATGAAGAGACTGAGCTAGGAAATTCTTCTTTTCCTCATGCTTTATAAGCAGAGAACATACAGGCATCTGCTCACTGAGCTTCAGACATACCAGACACTGCAAAGGTGCGGGACACGCTACGATATTACCACACCTCAATGTTACAATGCAATTTGGTAAGTATTGCTACAGGTAAAAATACTTGGTACCAATGAAAGGACCTGCACAACCCGTCAACAAAGGCTTTGCAGACAGTCACATTTGATTTGAGCAGTGACATAAGAACACATACAGAGGAAAACAGCATTTCTAGGCACAGGGCAACGAGAAACATGGCAGATCGAAAAAGTGAAAAGTGGCTTCATGTGGCTACAATGTTGGACACAAGAAAGGGGCCACAAACCTGGAGTTGTTAAGGCAGGTCAGAAGCAGCCTATCCCGTATTACGGAATCTGGAATGCAGGCTTTAACTCTAATGGCAAGAGAATTCAGGAAGCCTTTAAGGTAGATGGGTAGGGCTGGGGAGACAGCTCAGTAGAGTAAGCGCTTGCCTGACAAGCACAGAGTCCTGAGTTCAATCCCCAGTACCGTAAAAATAAATAAACACATAAAGTAGATGAGTAATATAATCAAATCTAGTTAGACACAGGATTCTTAATCGTGGAAGAAAATATATCTGTGGTGGACTGACAGTGGGTGGTCAGCTTTTAACCCCAGCTGCACTGAATCAGTGTGGTGCTGGACGTGGAGGGCTCACCTGAGGATTGCTGCCAACAACATAGAAATGGGAACTAGACAGCAAAACTGAAACTATGGGGGCTGCTGCTTCTCCTGGAAGAGCTTGTCATGCTGCCTTTTCTGATAGGAATTCAGCTGTTCTCGTCATCAGAGGAGCTCGGGATCTTTTTGTCACTGGGCGTGGCTACAGTCCGCGTTGAGGGAGCTCTGGTCCTTACTTTGAGCATCGCTTCCTGGCTCCAGTGCCGATCCCTCAGCCTGCTAGCATGGATGCTGCATCCCACTGGCTGACTTTCGAGTGTCCACCACTGACTTCTGGGCCTTTGCAGCATAAGGCCTTGAAGCAGGCCTGCATGAGACACTGTCACAGCTTCTTGGCCTCAAGCTGGACTGGGGAGTGGAGTGGGAGGGCACTGTGATGGACGCTAGGTCTTCCACGGGACTCCTGCAGGACACTGCCATGGGATCCAGGCTTCAGCAGGACTCTTTGATTCTGTAAGTGTGTGGACAGGTTTCCTGCACTCTTGTACTATGCTTTTTGGGTGACTATTCTAAAATAAACCTATAAATTATGTCTTATATTAAATTGTTTCATTATAAGTCCCAGAGCATAACAATATCAATTCACTGAAATCTGAGAAACTATCAGTAATAAGGCTGGTTTCAGGCTGGGCACACTAAACTAAATGATCATAAACTACAACAAATGGGGAAAAAAAATAAAATTTACAGTGTAAATATTTCCTTTTCCTCAGATGCCTAGTCCCTATTTCTCTGATATTCATCTGTCAGGTCATTCAGAGCCCTATCAACTTTCTTACTGTTTTATATTCATAATTTTGTAAGAAACTTTACATACCTGAGACACTTTGCCTGTTGGAATCTGAGTCCCCATTACTGGAGTTAGAATTGTTGGAAGAGTTGTTGTCAACTCCTCCCAGTAGGGGGCGCAAGTGGCTTACTGAGACTTGTTCAATGAAGGATGTTCCGTATTTGCGAAAATACCACCATTCAAATATCTGGAATAAAAAACAGTGAAAGTGTTTATAATCTCTGTTATCATTTATGATTTCTTTACACATGCTTATTAAGGTACTTTATGTTTACTAATTCTAATCATTTTTCAAAAATAATTTATCCTAACAATATTTGTAAGTTCTCAGTTTTCTCTGCTTAGGACTGATTTTCAAAAAGAATATATAACTACAATCATGTATAAAAGAACATTACTCAAATATGTTCTCTATTGTTGTCCTTCAATTTAACATAATATTCAAATAACAGAATCACCTTAGATAAAAGGTAGCTCCAGAAATACAAATAAATAAATCATTTTTCATAATGCAAGCCTGGTAATCCCAGTACTTCGGAGGCTGAGGTAGGATCGCTATGAATTCTAGGCCAGCCTGAGCTACATAATGAGTTCAAGGCCAGCCTGAACTATATAGCAAGACGCTGTCTAAAAACAAACACAGGGCTGGTGAGATGGCTCAGTGGTCTAAAGCACCTACTTAGAACAAGCTTAGCTAAAGCACAGGGACCGCGGTTCAATCCCCCAGCACCACATGC